CCACACATCACAGACAGTTGCAGGCAGGCCCACCTTGGTCACCTGAGACGGGTCCAGAGAAAAGAGTTACTGTGATTTCTTGTTACAAGTTTACTGGCTGTATCTGAGTGGAAGGAGCAGCGTCTGACCTCCGCGTCCCTCAGGTTTGTGTCTCCCCCAAACACAACGGTGACATCATCAGGTGCATGTTTCAACCTCCGCTTCACCACATGCAGCTGATTCAGGCGCTCTGCAGTATTTTCCTTACAGCTCTCAAAGTGAGATGTCATCAGGCACAGCTTCAGACCGTTGACGATCACCTGAGTTTTGGAAACGAAAATGTTCCTGAGCATCACTTATGGAGACGAAAAAAATATCAGAGATGATTTTGCACACACCTGAGCGACCAGCAGGTTCCTCCTCATCTTAGTGGTGGGATAAGGTACCATCTCGCTCTCCACAAGTTTGACTCGTGACTTTTTCAGCAACATCCCTGTGAAGCAACCGTTCCGACCACCTGATCAACACAAAAGGAAGAGAAAGATGGAGACTTTTAAGCTTTGGTTCCCCTTCAGATCAAATCTTTAGTCAATCTTAGTTCCCTTGGTGATCCCTGTCTTCCCTGTTGTGTCTCTGTGTCTGCATATGTTCCCTGTCTTGTCTAGTTAATATGTCTGTAATCCTGTTCGCATGTTTTTCTCTGTGTGTTTTGTCCTTTTGCCTCTCCAGTCTGTTTTGTGTTTCCATGTCTTTTTATTCCCAGTCTCAGTTTTTAGTTCATGCGCCTTAGTCTGTGTCTCAGTGTTTGTGTTACTTCCTGGATTTTTTGTCTTGTGTGTGTTGTTCAGTCTGTCTCGTTAGTCAGATTTTGTTCACCCTTGTTCCCTGGTGTGTCCTATCTCCTTGATTATCTCATGTGTACTTAAGCCCTTAGAGTTTGTTCAAAAACAGTGAAGGAAGAACACAGATGTTACTAATATTGACTAAAGTCCTTAACAGCTCTCTTCATGTGTTACATGAAGTCAAAGCAAAGCAGCTCAGCTGCATTCAGCCATTAATCACCATTTGATCATTCATACCTGTGCCTTTCCTACCTGTATCTATCTGACATACTGTACCTTCAATCATCAGGTAGTTGATGAGCTGTTCCTTCAAGAACTGGACATAAGGGGGAACGAGCTCCTGCAGGAACACCACATCAGGGTTGTGTCTGTATTTACAGAGATTTACTTTAATAATATTAAATGTCACATATGTGCAGCTTTTAGGAAAATGTTACATCTCCAACAACATTTTCTCCAAACGATGCCTTAAAGTGTGAAAAGTGTAACAGGTACTTACAAGTTTAAATATTTAACCAGGCCTCTGGAACGCTCTGGACGTTTTTCCAAATCAAGCCCGTCCACATTCCAGGTGATCAGGGACAGTTTAAAATCCTCTTCTTCTGAGGGTTTCTGTGTAGCAGCAGGACTGGCAGCAGGACTTCCATCTGGACTGTCTACAACCATAGCCATCCTGGAAGTTTTTCACAGTCAGTCAGCTAAAATACAAAAAGTCATATGTAAACTTAACCATACATAGAAGAGCTGACAGCAGACTTACCAGTCATCTGGAGTAGTATCTTCACCACTGTGTGTTTTAGAGTCGCTCTCCATGTCTGCTTCAACAAGTTAGTTCTCTCTCTGAAATAAAGGTGACAGTGACAGGAAGATTATGCACTGTTTAAGTCATAAAACACACACACACACACACACACACACACACACACACACACACACACACACACACACACACACACACACACAGGCTTGGTTTCCAATATACCCAGGCAGTTTCCTAGTATGTGTATATAACTTTTTTCGTGTCCTTGGTTTCAACCCAAATATGGTTGAAAGTATGTTTACATGTTCTAGCTCCACCCATTCTATCAAGGTTTAATATTTTTATACCAACCTTAAATAAACATACGTACAGAGAAAAGCCAGTGAGCAGACAAAGCAATGAAAGCAACAACAGAGGTTCAGAAAGTATCACGATATGTAAATGTAAGCAAGTCCTGAGAGCTTACTTTTCCAGAAGGATTTGGCTTTGTAATAGCTACATTTATGAATTAAAAACTTTATCAGAAAAATTAAAAATATTAACAAGAAAGGGGAAGAAAAAGTTTCTGTCCTTAATAAAAATTGTCAAATATTATTTCCATTAATGTCAGTGAGAGTGTTCAAAAATGTTGATTCTGTTCATCTGGACGTAGCATTTTGTGGGAGAAACATTTCATCACTCATCCAAGTGACTTCTTCAGGTCAGCTGACTGCAGGTTTCCCCAATCTTATAAACAGTACATTTGCATAATGACTGAAACCAGCCCACTGAAGGAACAATGGGCCCGGAGGTCAGTTCCTTAATCTTAATTATGCAAATTCTCATGACCATTGATCAACAACCACTGACCAAAACCCACTGATCAAAG